TTGTGCTGCCTATGAGGATGTCTTCGAATTAGGCGAAGATAAAATGGAGTCTTCTGGTGACATCATCGATAAATCTTTGAAATGTCTAAGTCAAATATTTGAGGTCGAAAAGTATTCGGATAGGCTAAAAAAGGCCGGATGGGGTAATGATTGTTGTCTTAGGAATGTCTAGAAGCGCTACCAGAGTTTGGTGATAGACCTTCCACAAGTCTGCTCTGCACGCCATACGGACTGCCGGACTCACCCTCAATCCGTCAAAGTGTCGGTTCGCCTATGACGAACTGAAGTTCCTATGTCACGTGGTTAGTAACGAAGGCATTCGCCCAGACCCAGACAAGACTCGCGCCGTTGCAGCATTTCCAGCGCCAAGAGACAAGAAGGCCGTGCGAAGGTTCCTTGGGCTCTGTGCCTACTATCGGCGCTTCGTTCGAGATTTCGAGATTTCGAAAGGATTTCCGCATCGCTTACAAACCTCACGAAGGACGCCGAGAAGTTCGAATGGGCAGAAGGGCAGCAGCAGGCATTCAACGGGCTGAAGCGACAACTGCAGGCTCCTTCTGTTCTTGGACATTTCGACCAGAATGCGGAAACCGAGATTCACACGGACGTAAGTAACGGAGGACTTGGTGCTGTACTGGTTCAAGTACAAGAAGGCACCGAGCGAGTCATCGCCTACGCAAGTCGGACATTGTCCAAGGCGGAGAGAAATTACTCCACGACTGAGAAAGAGTGCCTTGCGGTCGTCTGGGCCATCACGAAGTTTCGTCCGTACTTATACGGGAGCCCGTTCCGCGTAGTCACGAGCCACCACTCGCTCTGCTGGCTTGCGAACCTCAAGGACCCGTCAGGACGCCTCGCGCGATGGAGTCTTCGACTACAAGAGTTCAACATGACCGTGGTCTACAAGTCAGGCCGCAAGCACAGCGACGCCGACTGCCTGTCCAGAGCTCCCGTCGAAACACCTTCCGGCAGCAGCGACGACGATGACGACGAGTATTTCCTGGGCGCAGTAAACACCGACGACATGGCCTGTCGTCAACGAGACGATCCTGAGGTGCGCGCACTAATAGAGCACCTGGAATTGCGCGGGAGTGCAATGCCACGTGTTTTTACACGAGCGTTACCGACCTTCGCCATTAGACAAGGTGTACTCTGCAAAGAAAACTAAATTACAGGAATAACAAAAGGTGCGTCGCTCCCAGACTTGTACCGTACGCATTACAAGTAATCAAATTACTTGTAATCGATTACTTTTGGGAGTAATTTTGTAATCAGTTGACTACTATTATTAGGCAGTAATCACAAGAGTAATCTGATTACTTTTCGAAGTAATAAAATTACTTGTAGCCATTACATTTGTCCACGGGACCCCCCCCCCCCCCCCTCCGGCACACGCTTTTTTTTTATAAATTGACAAAAATAAAATTTGCTTTTTTTTTCGATCGGAAAAAAAGAAAACTTTTTGCGGAGCTGTTGGAAACGAGGTCAATCTCTTGCTATGTACAGTTTCTGTGAAATGTCCGGGTTTTTTTTTGTTTTTTTTTGAGCTGGGACTGGGAGTGGGAAGCCCCAGGGAAGCCACAGTGCGTGACAAAGGCCATTCAGGGCGAAGTTTGAGGAAACAGAATGTAGCTTTGTGAGTCCTTCGTTCAAACTAGCCCCCACGCGCACACACACACAGAAATAAAAAAATTAAAAAATCCTGCTTAGGGTACCTATTCGCAGCCCGTAGGAGAACCAGAACCGAAGAATGCCTAAAGTGGGAGCAAAATAGAACAAAGGCAGTTGAAATATTTCCCCATTTCCCCTACGTGGTCTTTGTGACAAGCAATGTTTCGAGTTGAGAAGTGGTCGGGGCGATCTCTTCCGCCAATGGATACTACACATGATCCGTTTCAAATCCTGGAGCTGCTGCTCTTTTGTATGACATGCGACCTCATCCACATGTGAGTAATAAAATGAGCGACGCAAACTTTGAGCGAGAACTCTTGCTCAAGCGAACCCCCTTAGCCCCCCCCCCCCCCCCCCCCCCCCCCACCCCACACACACACACTGGCGAACGCCCAAATCATTAAACGTGTTCAAACAAATTCTATGCTTGTGTCCGCATTGTGAAAGTGCAACGACCACGAAGAGGGAGCCAGTTTTTCTTCTTCAATACTTGTGCAAATGTGAAATATAGGTTGGAAGCAGTTCATTGTTATGAGCGCAAAAGATGTGTCTTCACACAATAAAGTAATCGGAAAAGTAACGATTATTTATTTAGGTAATGTCCAATTACTTTTGCCGTCGAGTAATCAAGTATTCTAATCGAATACTTTTTAGCCAATAGTAATAGTAATTGTAATCGATTACTTTTTTTAAGTAACGTGTACAAGACTGGTCGCTCCCAGGAATCGAACCCTGGCTTTTCGCGTGGCAGGCAGGTAGGATAACCGTTAGGCCACGCGTGCGCTGCCTAATTGGCCAGCTGCGCGCGGCAATATGATATTACTATTGGATTCATTGGCAAAAAGTCAGGGCAATTAAAGTTGGGGTATACGGATACATCGGTGGAAGAAAAAGACTGTATAAATATATCGTTTGGGAATGATGCACACTCATCTTGACCTACTGGTTCCCCATCTGCGTTTGTAAGATTCTGGTCACCGTGGTTATAATTAGGTTTGATTAAGTTCCAAAAGTGGCGAACATTTGTAGATAAAATTGTGCGCAACGTGTTAGTAAAAAAAATTGCGTTTTACTTCTAATACTACACGTTTATATTCCTGCTCGGTGCAATGATAGGCGTTAAAATGACTATCTTGTTTTGAAAGTTCGGCTACGCGAAATAGGCGTTTCTTTTTATTGGAAAGTTGTTTAAGTCTGGTGTTGTACCAAGGGGAATTACTTTTGGTTTATAATGTGCGAAGAGGAAATTATGTGCTTATTAGATAATTAACTTTGTTTTGAAACAGACAATTTTCATCTACAGAGTGTCCAAAGAAATTTTCCACAAAGTAACTCAGAAATTCACACAATTCACTATTTATAGCCGTAAAATGAGCTTTTCCGTAATCACGAATCTGTTTAACTATTTTCGGGAAATGACTTGTGGTAATATTTAAGGTAAAATGCAGCAATAAAGGATCACTAAAAGCAGGTAGATAGGTAATAGGGGAAACAAGGCCGGTGAAGGTTAACAGTACAACATCTAACACTGAGGCGCAGGAGGGCGTAATTCTGGTGGGGCGAGACACTAGCTGAGAGAAATTGTAGTCAGAACATAATTTGAGGAATTTGTCACTGTCAGGCGAAAAAGAGCTTGCGTAAGCTGTTTCCGCCGACCACACAATATTTGGATAGTTAAAATAACCCTAAAGGATGAAGCTTGGTGTGGGAGATCGCAGAGTCACTGTACTGATTACGTCATGAAGTTTGTCCAGAAATCTATGTGTGCGTCTGCGAAAGTTGACTGTGAGCCCGAAGTGGTCGAGAAAATCAGCGCCTAAGATGGCCGGTTAGAGGTCCGCGATGAGGAGTACCCACCTGAACGTTCGCCTTAGCCCAATGTCAATTGGCAGGGAACGTTAGCCGTAGGTGGATATAAGATACGACTTTGCTGGTTGTAGCTTTCGACCTTAATGAGGGCGCCACAGTCTGATCAAAGCTTCAGCGCAGCAGGCCTATGACAAAGCGTAGCTCCTTGAGTGTTCTCGCAACGCCACAGGGCGATTCATAACGCGCCAATGGATAGCGCAGCGGGCCAGTGGCATAACGACTGTGCAAAACAATTAAACTATACCCCCTCCCCCTCGCGATTACTTCAGTTGTCACAAAAAGCTCCTCAAAATCCAAGATCACTAGGACTCCAAAACGGATTTAGACTAGTGTGGACAATGCAATTAACGCAAAGGCGCAAGCGAGCTGGACAAGAATTAAGAACATAGTCCCTGGAAAAGAGTAACAAAGGACAAACCAAAATCTTCAAGCAGAGCTAGGAGACTTGTGCGCGAATGAAAGAAATGCTCCTGGACCTGGTATCGAACCAGGGACCTCTCCATTTCCAGTGGAGCGCTCCACCAACTGAGCTAACCAGGAGTTAGACGTCGGTAGAGCGAACGGGTTTTTTCAGCTGCCACCAGTGTAACACCAACAAGGGTGAACGGCCTGCATTTTAAGGTTATGGTAATAATACAAATAATGCAAAGGGGTAAGCTATAGCTGGTCAAGAATGAAGAAAATAATCCCTGGAGAGGGGAAACACAGGACAAACACAAATCTCCAAACACAGCTAAATGACTGGTGCGCGACCGAAAAAATATACCTGGTCCTGGTAAAAAACAGTCAGTGTTTGGAGATTTGTGTTTTCCCTTTGTCCCCCTTGTTATTCTTTTCCAGGGGTTATTTTCGACACCCTTGTCAAGCTCGCTTACACCTTTGCATGAATTCTATATCATCATAAACTTAAAATGCAGGCTGTTCACTCTTGCTGGTGCTAGACTGGTGGCAGCTGATAAAACAGGTTTGCTCTACAGACGTCTGACTCATAGTTAACTCAGTTGGTAGGGCGCTCCGCTGGAAACGGAGAGGTCCCTGGTTTGATAACAGGACCACGTGGATTTCTTCTGTCACGCACTAGTCACGTAGCCGTGTTTGGAGATTTGTGTTTATCGTTTATCCCTCTTGTTCCCCTTCTCCAGGGAATATTTTCTTCATTCTCTAAACCAGTCTTAACAATTTTCATAAACTCGGAGACGCCATGAGTGTGTAATGTGTCCAACGCGTTCCAAACCAATTAACGCTCCCCTGCTGATTTTACGTTGAAGTTTTTCTGTGCTGTTTTCACCGCACTCAAGCGCAAAGTGGCCCAACTGTATGCCATGTTAACGAATAAGTTGGCTTTGCTACGACCATACGAACTGTTTAAAATGTTCATAGAGGAGACCACCTTTTTTTTAAAATAGGTGTGTGCTTTATGACAATATGTGCACTATGTTCCTTTTAATATGTTTTTTCAGATGAACGGAAAGGAGCTTGAAGCAAACATCTATCATGATAGAAATCGAATGGCGTCAGTGAACATAGAAGAAACGAACGGCGGTGTCAAAGTGGTATGTAAAACACTGTTCTTTCTCTGCACCTCCCGTTTAAAACTCACTCAGCACAGAGAGTGTGCCTTCCAGGTGACACAAAGAAGATTATACATTTAATAAGAAAATCACGTGTCCCCCGTCCCCCCCCCCCCAAACAAAAACAACATCAACAACAACAACAACAACAAATGACATTATTTTAGATGTAAGCTAATAAGAGATTAAAGACATCATATTTGGTGTAGACGGGATCAATATTCATATCTAAATGAGAAATCAGCCATCACGAAGATTATTATGAAGCCAACATATTTCGCACTTTTTTGTTGTTTGTATTTTTCTGTTGGTAAGTCGAACATAGTAATAAGAACATTTTTGTTATTCTTCTTGCTAGTGGAAAGTATGAATCAGTATTTCTTATAAATTATTTATTAAACTAAACCCTTAAATAAAGGTTACATTGTTCGTATAAAAAAGAAGGGACAGACATGTGAAGCCTGAGAGGGATCGGAAATAATTTTACTTTTAATTACGTTCAAGATAAGGCGAATAAAGAATGCTTAAAATAATAGTCAAATGTTGGCTTCGCCCGGCAAAACAGTCTATTAACATTGTAAATACAGGGTTTTGTATTAGCTTGACTAGAATCTAAGAAATACAAAAACTTCCGTGTTTTTTTTTTAGCTTAGGCGTTGATTTGATGGTCATGGGGGCTACTAGGAAAGATGTGAAATTTAATAATTAATTGACTACCTTAAATAGTTCACCAAACCTTTTTTATTTGTTTAATTTTTAAGGATAATATAATTTGACAATTGATACATTACCTCATTATAGTTTAGGCGTGTCGTAAAATTATTATTTATGAAATGAAAGACGTTTCTAAATCTCTGTAATGCGAAAATAGAGCGCAGCTCTTGAGAAGGAGAAAGGGAGCTTATGCCCCTCCTCCTCTTTCTCCTCCATCCACTCCTCTCCCCTCCTCCTCCAATTCAGTTTCCTCGCTAAACTTAGATGGGGGAAATGACGTCACATTACTTGGTGTTACGTCACAGATGAGCAAATTCAGTTCTTCCACTAGATTTAGCGGGAAAAATGACGTCACGCAACCTCAACATCAATTGAATTCCCCGCTAAATTTAGCGGGAAATCGAATTGGTGTAGAGGTGACGTGACGTCATTTTCCCACTAAATCTCGTGACGCCAATATTACCGCTAAATTTAGTGCGGTTACGCCGACGCCTACGCCGCGAAACACGGAAACGGGCGCCTAAGAGCTGCCCTTAAATTTACAGTGAGGCTACGGTGAGAGCAATATCGCCCTTGTATGCGGTTTGAAACCGAAACTCGGCCAACAAAGGCAGCAAAGCCCACTCGTGGCGTCAATGCCTCTGCTCTTGGCTTGCCTGGCACTCCTGACGTCATTCGAAGCGCAGACACGCGAGATGCGGAGCCGGCAAAGAATGAAAGAATCGAAATTACGGGCTCGTTTACCCGGCTCAAATTCGGTTTCAAGCCGTGCAGACCCGTGATATTTCTTGCCCCGCACGCCTACCACGAACCCAAACCAAAGTTTTAGTCCACGGCTAAACTAATGATGTGGAGAGTCAATTCTCCAACTACATTGTGACCCTGGAAGTCAAAAATTTAAAATATTAATTGTCACTTTTTATTTAAATCACTAAGTCTCTATTGCAAGCTTCTTTTTTTTTCAGATTCTGGTTCTTCCAAAATTCCCACCCAGTATAAATAAAACACACGCCTGTGGCATTAAACTAAATTCCCCATATTATGTCTTCGTATTTAGATATAGTATGCCCTATTCTGGCACTATTCCGGAGTAATCTATTAAATGCTATTGGAGATACAAATAAGACGTACATGGAAGGGGGTTCCGATATTGAGATACTGTACAAGCCCATCAAATGAGCATCACAACCTGAAGAAATATTACCTATCCATGTTTCCTGAAGAAGTGTTGCGAATGTGATATGGAAAAAGCTTTGCTCACTAAGAAAAACATTTCCCACAATATCGAAAAGTTATTTTTCATTTACTACGACCATTTTATAAAAGCTTGACCAAACATGTCACACATGAAACCTTTGACATGCTATGTCCAGCACGAAAATAACTTACCGCTTTATAAGTCACTATATTTCGTGTGTATCTTAGCTTTTTATACATATATTGCTACGGTGATTATGACATATATTATATTTTACAATAAACAAGAGGTTGAAAGATGGCGGTTCTGCGAGCCCCCGAATCGCAGCTTCCTCTTCTTCTTCCTCGATTAGCCGAGCTCAAACTTCCTTCTCATCATCGTATCGATATGTAGACAGAAATAATATTGCAAATACATTGAACTTTGACAACATCGGTACACACCCTGGAACATTTCTGGCTTCCCTCCAGCCAGTCATTTAATCGTATAATATGGTCCAAAAAGCCCTAGTTTTGAGTTTATTTAAAATATTCAGAAGGTGAAAGTAAGAGGTAAAAAATAAAAGCCGTTTACAACTCCGTGTAACGCCGAATTAGAGCGCAGGTCTTGGGGAGGAGGAGGGGAAGGGTACTGAGGGGAAGGTATATCCTTCCTCCCTCCTCCTCACATCCTCTTCCTGTCTGCTACTCCTCCCTCCGAGTGGCGTCGCCGTCGCCTCACGAGGGTCACGTGACCTCACGGGGGTCACGTGATGATGATGATGCGGATGCCGATGACGTCATCAGTGACATCACTGATGACGTCATCAGGGACGATGGCGATCACAATACGGATGCCAATGACGTCATCAGTGACGTCACTGCAGACGTCATCAGTGACGTCACGGGTCCCATAATGCACCGCGCGGTTACGCCCACGGCGACGGCGACGGCGACGCCGCTCAAGCCGGAAACGGGCGCCTAAGAGCTGCGGTCTAATATATTCTCTTATCAGCATATTTGATCATTAAAAATTCGAGAAGGAACTAAAGACTGCTCACGTGTAAGAATGCAAAAACATTCGTTACACGCAGCGCATTCCTACAAGTGCGCGCCACGTCTTCCTTTTTCGCACTGCACTCCGAAGGTGACATCGCGCTCCCCCACTGCGCAAGCGCGGCGCCCACCCCCCTCTCCCCTCGACTTCAGGGCTTCCGTGGCAATGCATCTGCGTTGCTTTATTTTTCTTAGTGCTTTATTCTTCTTTTTTTATGCGCTTCTTCTTTTTTTTTTTAGCGACCCCAGTGGCTTGCTGACGAACCATCTGATACGACGCGTCGCAGCCGTTGCGAGAGTTTACTCGTTGTTTCCCTCTATAGACTACAGACTTCGCTCCATGGGACAGGGTAATTTAGGTGCCGTCTTTCGCGGCTTCAAAAGCTGATAACGCCTGTTCGCTTCATAAGACCAGTTAATGCTTTCGCATTAAAAAAATATTGTTCCAGAATGTGCATAGAAAACAATTTTTCACCTCGTTGTGACTCGCGATCTGGGCTTCGTGGTCAGTCAAAGTGAGACATTTTAAGTTGCACGACCAGAATCCCGAAACTGGAAGATGAGCCTTCTTTTTGTCCAGTATATTGATCCAGCTTGCCTGCGTCCTTTCCCTGCTTTTATCTACCTACTTTCCCATCTGTATCTTGGTTCGTCGCGTCTCATAATTTGTGGCTGTTCCTATTACAATACTTGCATTGAGTTTGGTAGGCGGCAGCTTATTACGACGATCGCGCATGTCTTAACACTTTATTTATTCTACATGTTTTTGTTACAGAAAGGAATCCTAAGCGATACGCTGAGAATCGCACCCCTGGATGTTGGTGCTCGATCTGATGACAGTCCTATTCCCCACGAGATATTTCAAGTAGAACAGCGTGCTGGTATTAGAGGTAATTCCAAAGGTAATCTTTGTTTCGAAATATTTTGAATGAAGTATTAGTATATTAGTCAAAACAATCGAGGATATATATTGAAACTTAATGTTATGCCTATGTCATTACACTGCGTAAAATTCCTTTGTAAATTCTGTCAAAATAACAAATATCACCCGAAAATATTTTTATAAGAAACGGGTTCTTTCCCTGTGTTACGGAAAGTGCAAACGAATTGAGTTTTTGGGAGTGAAATTCGGTGATTCGACCCTCAATATTGCCTCGAAAATAAAAAAATAAACGATAACAGTCAACTTTCCGTTGCTACGGGGGTGGAATCCTGGCCCGGATGGTGCTCGCCCGATGACATATCAGAAGTTGATAAAATAAAAAAAATAAAAAATGTTGTTCGATCCCGCTGAACACATTAAGACGTTGTTTGGCTGCACAGTGGGAAGTGTGGCCACGTTTATTACGAAACAAAACAACATGAACTCAACAGTGAGTTAAAATCAAAAAGTTAAACACCACACTTTTGTCCCCGTCTCCCAAAATCGAATAGAAACCAATCCAATTCCAGAGAATCCTCTCAGCACTCTATTTGTAGCTTCATAGGGGCCTCTTTTCTCTTCGGGGACCCACCAATCCCTTCAAATTCCAACACTCCCACGTGGTACACTGCTACCGAATGGTCGGCGAGCTGTCAGCCTGGCGCTCCAACCGCCAAAACCAGATTTCTTTTAGAGTCATTGCCTGCATTTTTCTCGGTCTGGTTCGCGCCAACGGCTACATTATTACATCGGGCAAAAAACGACAATTAGACAGTAAGCGGAGAAACGCTCTATACACAGGCACACTCGGTTAAAAGCCACAAGCAGTTCATGGCATGGGCTCTCCCAGGGATCTGTCCGTGCAGTCTCCCGAAACCCAAGACGTTTCTTAACGACCGCGAGGGAAGCGCTTGCACCTCGCGGCCGCTATGCCCCCGCGAGTGCTCCCTCCAAAACGCCGACACATGCATAGAAACATTTAAAAAAATACCAATGCAACTATGAAAAACTTAACGTTTCTAAAAAAAAACAAAAAAAAAAACCAAAAAAACACCTTACTTATTTAACAGGATTTCTACATACTCAGCAATAGCCTTGCAGTGCATCATTGAAACTTGGCTTTCATTTTTGGTTATGCTTAGGTTATTTTCCCCGCGGAAGATTGCATGAGGATAGTTACAACTTTGTAATTTGATCTATATTAAAGAAAAACGGTACCATTCAATTAAAAAAAACTTTTTTCCCACGATTTTCTTTTTTTTTTTCTTTTTGTATTTCGCGACTAGCATTGTACTGAAATGTACGTTTTATGGTATTTCAACGTTTCTCCTTACAGTTGGTCCAGAAATAAAAAGTAGCAAAAATTTTTTTGCGGAACTGAAAATTGTGGTTGACGATGATCACCAAAGTGCCTTCAATACTCCGGAAGAATTAGTTCAATATTTTGCCCTCTGCATGAAGCTGGTAATATTGTTTTTCATTATGAAAATAACAAAAAAGCAATCAGGCGAACTGGTGAAATTTCAACATCTTGTAAACTCTCAGACCTGTCTGTGTGTGTGTTGTCCTTTTTTTTTCTGAGCTTCGTGTTTTTGAAGTTTGTTTTTCTTTATAGGTTTCCGAATGCATGGGGTTTTCTAGGTTGCTACAAGCAACGATCAAATAATTGACGAGAACGAAAACTATAAACTTTTTTATTCAATCAGTTTTGTGTATATCTTAACTTTGGTGTATTATCATAGACATATTGTTTTATGTTTTTGACCCACAAGTCCAAAAACAAGCGACACACCCTTAGAAAGAAAGGATCTAAATACTCCATAATAAACGAAAAAACGATATTGTTAATTCCCTTCGTTCCTGTAGAGGCAAAGCAACATTCGTCCCTGCAAACGGGAAAGCAAAATTCCTCCCTCCTCTGCATCTCAACATGGTGTCCTGGATCGAGTGAATTGACTCCAATGAGACTTAACAACGACCCCAAGATGGTCGGTTTTGACACGGAACGCTGCCGCGAATCACCCGGAAATAGTTTGCATAGTTCTCAGACCGGAAAATGCATCGCGTTAAAGGCGGCCCTTCAAAACCTGCTAAACAATATCGCAAAAAAAAAAGAGAAAAACAATCAGACAGCTTGAATTTATTTGATGCTTTCTAAGCGAAAGGAGCAGCAAATAAAAACATAAGACAAATTTTTACATACTGTATTTCTTGCCAAGGCCGGCTTCCTACTCAGGCAAGGAAGCTTAGAGTTTAAAACGCAGCCTCTCATTTGCGTTTTGAAAACTGTGATGATAATCCGATTCAGTGGAAGCCCGGCCACTTGTTGCACTTCATGTCTTACCTTTGGTATTCCCTGTGCCAGAATTCCTTCGTTAGCACCGCACATCGTGTAGGAGTATGAAACTATTCGCGAACAGAAGGTTGCTTTCGAAACAGCAAATTCAATGCAGCCTTCCTTGCTCATTGCACGGTTCAGTAGATATCGCGAAGCGTGAAAGGCTCCCCAGTAGATGATAGATTCAAGCCGAGTAACTGAGTAACTACAAATATCTAGGCTAGGTGGCGCTAGCTACCGCCAGGTACCGCTCAAACAATAGGTTGCAAAAAATATATATATATGTATATATAAACTTCGAATAAGTAACTACGACAGTACGCATCTTTGACTATATATATAACGGGCATGGTGGCAGGAGGCCGGAGGCGTGGGTATATAACTGGGAAGAAGAAAAACCTTGGTGAAAACAGCAACAACGGACGATTTATTCTTTGCGTAGTACGGGCTTTGTCCTGACGAAGGCCGGACTCCGGCTGAAACATCGAAGAATAAATCGTCCGTTGATGCTGTTCTCACCGAGGTTTTTTTTTTTCTTCCCAGTTTATATATATATATATATATATATATATATATATATATATTATCGTGCGCAGCTACATATTGCGCTTGAGGCAACTTCATCACAAACAGACACACGTGCACTTTGCGTACAACTACATACGATAGCATCAACGGAACCGGTCATACACAAAAAGGGCATACGCATACAGAACACATACAAACATCAATTTGATCGCGTACTACCCTCATCACTGAATCCGCACATTGTGCTTCCGCTTTAATACTCGTCGTTTTGAAGGTTCAGATCTATTCGATAATTACACAAAAATGATGTTTCTAGTATGAATATATTTGGTAGCAATGTCATTACTTAAAAGGTATTTTGAACGGCTTATGGAATTAACCTCTTAGGAGGAAGTAAACGTCCATCTATTCGCGTTTCATTTCAATTGACTTTTCTCAAGAAACGGAAAGCCCAAATTCTGTATAGACAGAATATTATTGACCTCTTTTCTAAATATTGCTTTAAAATATTTTTTGTAGGTAAACATTCGCTACGAAGACACTTCAAATCCAAGAGTTCAGTTTCTACTCACTACCGTTGAAGTAGCGGTACGTCCTCTTTGTTGTAAAATATATGTCATTTCAATATAGAAACGACTGACTAAAATTTACAGAAAATTTGTTTCCTAGGAGAGGGATTTTGCAGAGGTGTTTTTTGCCCCTGACGTGGACTGCCCAGGCCGGTCTATGAAAAGATACATGGATCCAGTCTTGATGATTAATAAAACTGCAAACGTTTATGGGAAGAGTGATGAGGATGTTACTGTTTTTGTTACATCGTAAGTAACTCCAAGTCCCTAGCACACAAAAATTTACATCTGTAGACAAATTCCTCAAATACAAACTATGTGAATTAATTACGTTTCTACCTACCGTGAAATTAGCCGGCTGTGCTAGCATTTGATACGGGCTCATAACAAAGAGTGAAGTGTCTAACTGTCGTTGTTTGTTTCCCGCAACGAAATCATGTGACTGGCGCAGAAGAGCCATTATTTAAAGGGGTCAATGTCATATTTTTTTTATTATCCGAACCCATTGAAAACGATGCCTGGACATTACCATCTTGGGAACTCAGTATTTGTGAAGTTAAAAATCAATTCTCCGAAGCCGTATTTGAAGTTCCCGCACGGTCCGCGCCAGCGCAGTGACGTCAAAGATTGAGTCGTCCTGCAACTCGAGTCTCTCACACGCCTCCGAACCATCACTACACAAAGTCTCGTGTTCGCCTGCGTCCCGCGATCGAATGCTCTTCTCCGTGCATGCCGGCTATCGCAGTGAGCAGACGACGCTTAACTTTCGAGTTTAAAGTTCTTTTAGTGCCCTTTCAACGATCTAAAACTCTTTGAAATGGTGTGAGGTCGAAGATAACCGCAGCGGACATTTGTGAGCGACTTGAGCGGCCACGCCGTACCGGTTTTGCTTGAAACGCGGCCCCGCGGAGTCGCAACAGGAACTACGGTACACTCACACCAAACCCAATTGTTTTGACCGTTTGACGTTTTATTGTTGTTGTTTTGTTATGTTTTTTCGAAGTTTGAGAGGACGTCGGGCTCCTGAAAAAGAGAACTTTGTCCGATTCCCCGACCCACCGATCATCCTCAGTGCTACATGTGCCGAGCGCCGCCAACGCCGCCATGTTTTCTGGGGAGGATAAAAAGCCAGGAGGCGACTTCACACTGGACTCCGAATTTCGGTGTTTAAAAAAAAAAAGCTATAGTATAGTGCGTTCGCAATTGATTTAAAAAACATGTTTTTCGAATGTCGTTATTAATTATTATAGAGGTATCGCTTACAAATCTTACAAATATAATAATTTTGACGCCACAAATAAAAAGAAGCAAGGCGTTAATAAGAGTAACCCTTCTCCCCCCTTCTTCCCGCCAGAGAGAGAGAGAAATAACTTTATTGAGAAGCTGGTGATCCTAGGCGTCGGCCAAGAGCCCTTGGGCTCTAGCAGCGTCTTCGGCCAGCTGGATGACCCAGTTTTGATCAGCTGGGTCGGAGCTGAGCAACACAGTCTCCCATTGCTCTGCCTGAGTGATTCTGCGACCTGGTGCCGCCGCCTGTGGACAAGCCCATAGCATATGTGCTAGGTCTGCTCTACCTTTACATCTGTGGCTTTTGTCCGAATATTGCCCTGGGTAGCAGTAGCTATACGTAACCGGGTTTGGGTACGAATTCGTTTGGAGAAGTCGCCATACTACGGATTGCCTCTTATTGAGTGATGGGTGAGCGGGGGGAAAGCGGGCCCGCCCCATTCGGTAATGATTTGTAATGTCCCTGTAGGACACGAGCCGATCCCTGCCCGACCATCGGAGCGAATGCGCAAATGTGGTGTTAGGGTCGATGTCTGCTCGGTCGGTGAAGCCTCGAGCGGCATCGTGCGCGCATTCGTTCCCGGCCAGGCCGGAGTGGGCAGGTGCCCATATCAGGTAGATCTTGCCGGTCCGCGCGTCGTTGCGGAAGCCAGATTTAAGGATTGCAGACGCCTCTGGTGAGATTCGTCCTCTCGCGTAATTTAGAATGGCAGACTTGGAGTCGCTCACTACGTATTTGATTTTCGTGGAGGCCGTCATTGCCAGGGCAATGGCCGCCTCTTCGCCCACCTCCGTTTCGCTCGTGCGAAGCGAGCCGGAAGCGATGGAATTTCCCTGTCGATTGACTACCACGAAGGCCATGGCGTCGCGACTCGCGTAATCGGCCGCGTCCACGTACACCACGTCCTCGGACTTTTCGTATTGTTTGTGAAGGGCTTTCGCCCTGGCCTGTCTTCGCCCTAGGTTGTGTACGGGGTGCATGTTTTTCGGTATAGGTGGAATGTGTATGCTCTCCCTTATTGCTGGAGGTAATGCGACTTTGGTTGGGGCAGTCCCCGGATGGGCGATGCCGAGCGAGTCGAGGATGTACCTACCAGTCGGGGTGTAGGTTAGTCGTTCCCGTTGTGCTAAGCGTTGGGCTTCGATGAGTTCGCTGAGGGTGTTGTGGAGCCCGAGTGCCTCGAATCGTTCGGTCGAGGCGGTGAGTGGGATCCCGATTGCTTGTTTGTAAGCTTGCCTAATGAGGGCGTTGATTTTGTGTTCTTCGTCTTTTTTAAGGTGTAAGAACGGAGTGACGTATGTTACCCTGCTTAGGACGAAAGCTTGGACTAATCTTACGAGATTGTGTTCCTTCATGCCGTGATGGCGGTTGGCAATGCGCGAGATGAGTCGGGTGGTTTGATGTACGCTCTTTTCGAGAGCGAGGACGGTTTCGGTGTTGTGTCCGTTTGCCTGTATGCGGAGGCCAAGAACCCGGATGCTTCTTACTATGGGGATGCGTTGTGTCCCACCCGCGAAGAGTGTGACGTTCGGAGGGGTCGGATCTGTGCGCCGCCCCTGCTGGTCGGCCGGTAGAGTAGAAGCTTCGATTTTTGCGGAGCGCAGCTGAGACCGCGAGGGCCTATGTACTGTTCGACTGCTTCGATGGCCTGTTGTAGTGTGTCCTGAATATGACCGTCACTGCCTCCGGGGACCCAGAGCGTGACGTCGTCTGCGTAAAGGGTATGCTGAAGGCCTTCAATTTGATTTAAAATTTTGGGAAGACCAATCATGGCCACGTTGAAGAGAAAAGGGGAGAGGACCGAGCCTTGCGGCGTCCCCCTGCTCCCCAGCTCCATCGCGTCGGACTGGAGTCCCCCTATTGAGAGGGTAGCTGTGCGGTCTGAGAGAAAATTGCTGATGTAGTCGTACACCCGTCTTCCAAGACCAAGTTTGCCCAGGTTCGCGAGGATAGCCGAGTGTTTGACGTTGTCAAAGGCCTTCGTGAGGTCGAGCCCCAAGATGGCTCTAGTATCCAGTGGGGAGCAGTGCGCGCCGTCTATGACGTCGTATCTGAGCCGAAGCATAACGTCTTGCGTAGAAAGTTTTGGTCGAAAGCCAATCATGGTGTGCGGAAAGAGACCGTTGTCTTCCATGTAGCTGTTGATCCTGTTGAGTATGACGTGTTCCATTAGCTTACCCACACAAGACGTGAGGGAAATGGGTCTAAGATTTTCGAGCTGGAGTTTCCTGCCTGGTTTCGGTATCATAACTACCTTTGCCGTTTTCCACTGGTCGGGTAGTTGTCCCCGTTCCCAGCAGACGTCCATGTACCGGGTGAGGGCTTCAACTGAGTCGTTGTCCAGATTTCTGAGCATTTTGTTAGTGATGCCGTCTGGGCCTGGGGCGGAGCGAGTTCGTAGGGCCAAGATGGCCCCTCGAACTTCGCTTACCGTGATGGGTCGGTCAAGTAGGTCGTTGTCCTGTCCCGTGTAGGGAGGGAGGACCTCACGCGGGGAGTCCCCGATGTATCTATCTTTAATGGTCTTGATTAGCTCTGTGTCGGAGCCATTAAATTTGTGTAAAAGTATATTTAGGTTGTGTCTTTGTGTGGTTTTGCTGTTGTCGGGGTCGATGAGACAGCGGAGAATATTCCAGGTTTTTGCGAGCCCTATTTCGTGTTCCATGCGATCGCACGTGCTGTGCCAATTTTGACACGTTAGTTGTTGTGCGTAGTCTTCGATGTCCCGATTGAGGATAGCAAGGCGCCGCCTGAGGTTGCGATTTAGCTTTTGTGTCTGAAGTCTCTCATGCAGACTGTGCTTGGCTTCCCACATGTGGAGGAGCTTTGCATCGGCCTGAGAGAGCTCTGCGTCTTCAGGGATTTCTTTAGTAGCCTGCTTGGCATCCCTGCGGAGTTGTTCCGCCCATTCCTGAATGTGAGCTATCTCCTCGATGGAGGGATTACTCGCTATGTCAGAGGAGGCACGTTCAGCGGCCCGGATTTCGCGGAAGGTGTCCCAATCAATAAGGAGGAGTCGTTTACCGGATGTGCGTCTAGCGATTCCAGTTTCGACCGCGATAGCGACGAGATAGTGGTCGCTGCCTAGGTTTTCTTGAGTGTTGAGCCAACTGGCTTCTTCGTGCGTGTTTTTCGTGAAGGTGAGGTCGGGAGTGGTGTCGCCGCTAACGCTGTTTCCAATGCGGGTGGGGTGTGTTGGGTCAGTGATCAATGTGAGGCCCTCCCTCTGCGCATCGAGCCAGAGGTTGCGCCCCTTGATCGTGTCCCGTTTATATCCCCACTCGGGGTGATGTGCATTAAAGTCTCCGACAATGACCAAGGTATTTCCCCGTGCTAGTTCAAGGGTTTTACGTAAAGGTTTGCCGAATTTGTGGGTGTTTCGGGGAGAGCTGTATACGTTTAGAATGAATGTGCTGTGCGTCCTGTGTTTCCGGTCCGGGATTAATTCAACGAGGACGTGAGCCGCGTACGGCGCGCTTACCCCGGTATCGCGACGAATGGCCGGGAGGTTGCGTCTGACGAGGGTGGCTACCGTGGGTTTTTGCTTGGAGTTTACACCAGAGGCGTCTTCTTCTAAGTCTGAGAAAGATTTGTAATTGGAGAGTTTTGCAAAGGCGCCGGTTTCTTGGAGACAAACGACGTCAGGCAGTTCGTCCGAATTCTTGGTTTTAATAAATTGTTCGAGATGAGCGCGTTTCCTTTGAAATCCTCGACAGTTCCATTGCCAGACGACGAGCGTGCTGGACTTTCGGGTTCTATTGTGTTGGGAATTAGACATTATCGTGAAGATTTTGGGGGCTTTCCGCCGCAGGTGGGCGAAAATAGGGCTTAGTTGATTTTATAGGGCCTGTTCCCCCATCCCTGCCCACCCGTAGGGTGGCGTTTTCAGAGGCTGTAACCCTAGCGTTGAGGCTGGCGATTTGTGTGCCAATACTTTCGGCGAATTGGGCCAGCATAGCTTCGAATTTCGCGCTGAGCGTTTCGTTTAAGGTCTTACTAAGGTTTTCTCCAAATTCTCGGAGCATGTCGTCATCGGCGTTTTTTTTGGAGCCCGAGAGTGCGGGCTGGCTCGGAGTACTGGGGCTTACTTCTTTGGCCCTGCGTTTAGACGGTGGAGAGTCAAGTGGTGAGTCATCCATCGCGTCGGCAGAGCCGTTTTCGGATGGGGTTTGAGGCGACTGCTTAGGTGGCATGGCTAGCTGGTTAGGTTGGCCTGATTTCTTAGCGGCCTGGCCTAGGTTGCAGGGAGAAGGGGGTGGCGTAGAATCGGCACTGGTTCCCTTTAGTTGTGCTAGTTCGGCTTTGAGTTTTTTATTTTCCGAGATGACGAGCTCTAGCATCTGCCTAATTTTGGTAATCTCAGACTGTTGATCTGGATGTTCTGAGCTAGGCCCGCCCTTCGGAGGGGCGGGCCTAGCTCAGGGCCGCCCCTCCGTGGGAGACCGTGTTTGCCCAGCTCACCTTGTTTGTTTGATTGCCTCCGGTTAGCTGCCTTCCGTTTCGAGACGGGGATCTCGACTTGCGTCTCTGGTTCTGGCGGCCTTGGATGCTGGGGCTCCGGCGCCGCGACGACGAGCGCGAGCGATGTTGACTGCTGGCGGAGCTGTCCCTGGTCCCTGGTCCGCGACTCACGTCCCGTCTGCTTTGTCGCTCATACTGCGGGAGGCGTGGGAAGGAGTCCGATCTACCGCGCTGACCGGGCGTGTCTCCGCTGGGTTCGTCTTTCTTGAGTATGGACGGCGTCGAGGCTGGGTTTCCTGAGCCTTTTTGTGGTCGTCGACGGTTGTTCTGTATCTGTTGCTTTTCCCACTTCCGCTTCTTAAGAAGGTAGGGAGTCTGGAAACGGAGTCGGCACTTTTTGTCGCCGGTCGGATGATCCCGGCCACAAAGTGCGCACTTGGGTTCACATTGATGGCTTTCGGACGGGAATTCGGTGCCGCAGATCTTGCAGATCTTTTTGTCGGGTGCTGGGCAGACGTCCGTGCGATGGCCGAGCCTGCCGCACCCGTCGCACACTTCGTGCCGCTTCTTGTGAATGAAGCAGCGGTATTCGGCGCCGCGGTAGTAAACATAGTACGGTACTTTGGTGCCTTCAAAGACGATGATTGCCGAATTTGTCCGGCCCATTCTTCGTGCTTGCAGAATCGTGCTATTCTTCTTATAGATAAGGCTTCTTGTGATATCCTCAGCACTGTCGTATTCGGGGATGTCGTGTATAATCCCCTTGACGGTGTCCTCGGGAGGCGCCGCATAAGCGGTGACGTTGTAGGATTTTTCTCCGTAGCGGAGCTCCTTGACAGCGGTGTATTTGCTCGCATGCTCCATGCTGGGGGTGCTGGCCACAATGATGTTTTTTGCGGGGTTGATTCTCAGGAGATCTTCCTCCGCTTCGTCGTAGCCGAGACCGGTAGCACGGAGCACTCCGTCGCGCAACTCGGCGTGGCTGATCTTTGTGATGTCGAGCCCCTCTCGCGGGCGCAGCACGATCTTTATGTCTTCCTTGGGCAAGGGCGGCTGACGCGGCAGGCGCGGTTTCCGAATCATTTGCTTCTCGGCACGCGGCTGCCGGTAAGTAGGCCGGGAGCCAGCGCCTTCCTGATCATGGGAGTGTCCCGGGGTTAGACCTAGCTGTGCGAGGGCTCGGGCGCCACGTCGACGATGGCTTGTTAGCCACCCGGCCTCCTCGGTGATTTCTTCAGGCGAGATGGACTCGCCGTCTACTTCGATGCTCACCATTGCGTCGCTCCGGGTCCCCCCCGCCACCAATTTTTTTTTTTTTTTTTTTTTTGCGCTGTGTGTGTTTGTGTTTTTTTGTTTTTTTTTCGTTCCTATAACAACAATTTGCATCGTATTGGACAACAACACGAAATACGACCTTCGGGGTGTAAGTGCCCCGATGCAAGTTGTAGTGATTTTGTTTTTCGCTTTTCGGATCAGTTTTTTACCTCCTTGCTTATTTTTATTTGTTAGGTCAAAATTATGAAATTGGGAAGCTTTGTAAACGGTATCTCTATATTAATTAATCACGGCATTCGTAAATCATGTTCTTCCAAACCGCTATGGAATTCTCGTCCGGTGTGTTACTCGGCTTCATACAAAACGCCTAGGCGGACTACGATGCGCGCTCGCGCCTTTACCGCTCATTGAGTCACCCTGCTCCGAAATGACACCTTAGCGGCACCGACGTCACACCTCAGCTGTCGCTTTGTTTCACCTTACGGATTCTGTAGGTTTTTGCGATTTCTTTAATACAAAAGCATGAACTGTCCCGTGGAGCGGAGCCGGCGTTGTCCGTAACCACGACAAGCGGCAGAGAAATTCCTACTGCGGAACGGCTCTTAAAATGGCTGCGACGCGGCCGGCGCGCCGGATGGTTCCAAGGAACGCCACCCCACAGAGCAGCGCTGCTCTCCAGCGCCGCCGCCGTAGCGCACGCCCGCCGCCCCCCAGAAAAGAACCCCGCCAGCCGGCGTCCGCAGAGGTTGCCCCGCTCTCCTCTGCAGAGGATAGCGGGGCGCGCAGCTTGTAGGAATACGCTACTTATATTAATGCTTTCGCATTCCTACATGTAAACAGTCTTAGGTGTCCTCCTGTAATCTTTTATTTCACCGAGCACCCCTACTGTCGGTGTTCACTCAGAAATCGTTTGCCGACCAAGTGGCCAGCACTGACAAAAGTTGAACAGCGGCTAAAATTGCGTTCATTCATAAAATAGCCTCGATGATAACTCAGCTTTCTTCTGTTATATAGAACTGGTGGTCTTCGGAGTCACGGGCTTGGCTGGGGTCTTTTTTTTTTTTTATCCCGCGTGACTGTACACAACGCTTTGTGCCCTTTGTGTATGTTAATTGTATATTTTTGCTTTCAGGGTGGATCTTGCCGACAAGTTTGATGGAACTGTTTACAATCATGTTATGGGTGAGTGTTTTTCATTTCCTGTATTCTGACGTGTCGCATTTTATTCCATGTCACAATTTTTTAGGACTCCGGGCTCACCCGCATATTTGCGTGTTATATGACCAGGTTCATACTGGTATTCAACAAAAGTTTTTATTGCATGGAGGGATGACACTGGAAATAATGTATTATTTTCATTTTGGGAAGGATTGGTGGGACGAACGAAGAAATAAGTAAACGGTACCTGAACGTTGACGAGAAGTAGCAAAGCGCGCAAGTTGTTTGATAAAAGGGACTACTAAGGAAGTCAAATAGTTGGAAATGGTGCCCAGGGCAGTAAGACCCTTTTCAAAAGACGGCGCCATTGCCTGTCCGCCATTGCTCGATCACGTACTCTGAGCATGTATTGGACACGAGGGCTGCGTCAGCGTTCGGCGAGGACTCGGATCCAATCACACACTTCCTGTCAAGGCACTGGCGACTGCCGCTGTAGTTTCTATTTTTGTGGGTCTATTGTGATGCAGTAATTCGCCAGATAATCACCCAAAAACTTACTAATTAACTTTCTATTCTATACGAGAGCCCAAGCACCTCACTTATGTATTTAAAATAGATAGCCCGTCGTCAAAATTTCTCATAATTAGGTTTCACGAACAATCATTTATGATTGGCGTAAGTCACTGTGTGATAGACCTTATCTAATATTAGCGCCCCCTGTTGGCGGCCACGCGCACTATCAAGCCTCCGCGCCATATTTGAGGCTACCCCACCCACCCTGTTCTGCCTGCATAGCGTTCTGCGCGCTAGTTCTTAGGATGTTCTTTTCTTCAGACGTGGTGGTTGCTTTAGGCGGTTCGATACCAGGACCAGGCGGATTTAGTCGGTCGCGCACCAGTCACCCAGCTGTGTTTGGAGATTTGCGTTTGTTAACCAACGTAATAAAACCGGAGACACGGAACAAGAAGGACACACAAAACACCGTCTCAGTCACAGCTTTGTTCGTTTTCCGTGTCTCTGGTTTTATTGTGCTGCTTAATATTCACCAGCTTACCTGTGGCCTAACTCTTCTTTCACTTCTGTTTGTTCTTTGTCACCCTTCTTCCCCTTCTCCAGTAAGATTCCGTTTTTTTGTTTTTTTTTTCATATATATATATATATATATATATATATATATATATATATATATATATATATATATATGTATATATATATATATATATATATGTATATATATATATATATATATATATATATATATATATATATATATATATATAATCTTGAATCTAGTATATGTTCCCTCACAAAGTGAGGGAACACATAATGCAAATGTAATGCGCAAAGAAAACGTACCGCCAGGAAACATTTGTCGGCTGTTCGCCGCATATTCACTCAATTCATGTACAGCCTAAACAATTCTATTTTTTTACAGGACAGGCGCAACTTGGAGGTCTCTGCAAGGACGGAAGGCGCGTTGCAATCGTGGAGGATGTACCGCCCACTTACTCTTTGATTCAAATTATAGCGCACGAACTTGCTCATACGTAAGTTCAAAATAACAGTTTTCCTTCATAATAAAAAAAATATTTAAGCCAGTGTGTCATTAAAAAACCTGTCAAGTCAATGCATTAAAACGGCAATTTATTGGGCGGTCGAATTAATGGTTCGTGAAAGCTATCCTGTTTGGCACATTTGGGATTTTTTACTCTTACTAGTGAAATAACAATATAACGAACATTTTGTGTACTAAATTTATATCTTTTTTAACTTACAGACTTGGAGTTTCCCATGATGGCGAAAAGCCTCTTCGGAGTATAGCTCATAAGGTAAAAAGCAGCTGCCATCGTTCGTCCGGGCACTTGATGGCACCCTCAGCACACGGAGAGAACCACGGGCACTTTTCGAATTGCTCTATTGAGCAGATTGAGGCCTTTGTTGGGTAAGAAACATCTGTGAACATAAATTTGGCATGTTCGTTAGGTGCACTGGCACCAAGACATTCACAAACACGTATATCCCCCCCCCCCCCCTCCCCTCGGTAGAAAACGGGCTGAAACACTCGGTCTAGTTTTCTGCTACCCCTGCGAGGTCCCCGCAAGCTCAATTATTTCTCAACTTGTCAAACCGATCAAGCCAAAAGCTACTCTTTGTGTTCGAGCACTCATTAGCATTTAAGCTTCTCCAAAAACGGGCCGGTACCCCAAAAAACGCGGAGGGCTGTTGTAGTTTATGACGTCCGCGATAGCACCACTGTGTGTTACAATTACCGGCACCACATTGCTTCGCGGAAAACAGTATATTGTGATCAGAACGGAAATTACCGGAATGTTTGTTCTGGCACATTAGTGTGAACCTCTATGGCATATGATAAATTCTTGCTAAGGTATTCCGCTCGTGGAGAAGAGTTATTCTAAGAAACGTGGCAAAAGGGGCAATTAAACAAATATTTCAGCCAAAGTTTATATCCAAAAACTAGGCACTTAAGAAACTCAAACAATACACTTGGGAAACTTGACCTTTTCCTCTTATGAATGACAAGGAATCACTTGCAAACGAGTGTTTTACTGGCGCTTAAACATGATTATTTTTGTATTTCTTCCTACAGTATAATATCCAGTCTAAAACTATCTTTTTTGTGTAGTTTCTGGTACGAGTCATGTGCTTTGCTGATTAAAGTGTATTACGGTACAGGCCCCGATAAAAAGAAAAATACATGGAAGAGTTTGACTTCTGAACGGGACTGTGGGTCAGTACCGCCCCGTATAAGAATTTTGATAGAATCATCAAAACGGGTAGCAAAATAGTGAGTTGCTTCGACACATGGCAACATTGGAGGTCGTTGCGAACCCAGGCACAACTACTTCTTTTTATCGGGTTTTAGCTGTTGTTCTATACACGAACGTAGTGTTTACTAAAAAGAGCCGCGGCAGTGCGCACCGAGCAGGCGTAATTCCTGATTTTGTATTAAGTTACCTCGCTTGCTTTATGTCCCCACTCAAACAGCTTAATTAAGCCATTCTGCTTGTACTGGTGGCTGTTCTGAGACATACTACAGCTGCTTGAGCTTCCTCAACGACATAGAAAAAAATTACCAAGGACATGGTGAATTAATATATTACCTCTAAAAAGGCACTCATGTTTTTTGTGTTTTTTTTTTTTTTTTGTTTTAAACACGCTTGTTTTTGATGGTATATTTTTTTTGGCTCTTAGTCAATAAGAATGACCTGCTCTACACTCTTAGAAAAAAAAAAGGTATGAATAGTCCTCCCTTAGGGGCGGTACGCCCTTGTAACCTATGTTCGTTTAGAAAGGGAGAAACTGTCGTCCCTGAAGCAGGGGAGCAACTAGTTCCTCCGTCGCCTGCATTTCATTATGGCGGCCCCGAATCGAGCAAATCGAGCCTAATAAGGGTTGGCGAGGATGCTAAATCTCTTGTACGAGACGAGAGCAGCAGCAAATAAAAGCGTAACACGAGCTTTCCGCGAACTGTGTTTATTTCTGAAGCCAGATTCCCCCCCCCCCCCCCCGCCCCCCCCACAGGTACAGAAACATGCGTTTCGAAAGCAGTTACTCAGTCTTCTCGTCGACAACACTGCGATGTTAAACGGAGACAACCGATACCCAGTTACTTCGCGCACTTTGCGTCTTACCTTTGGTGTTCCTCGAGTCACAATTCCTTCGTCAACCGCACATCACGGAGAAGGGCAAACTCTATCCGCGAAACCAAAAGCCGCTCTCGGAAGAACAAACTCGAAGCCGCTGTTTATCGCGTAGCGTGAAAGAAGGCTAAATCGCTAGCCACCAGATGGCGGGGTCAAGCAGAGTAATTGCAAGTAGCTAGGCTAGGTGGTGCTAGATACCGCCCAATTCATGTTTTTCAAAAAAATAATTTGCTTTTCTCAGGCCACTACTGCGCTTCAGAGCCGTATATGTAGAGAGTTTGGCCATTCGTTGGGAAGTATAGGAGAGAAATGAGGAGGCGCCATTGGCCGAAAGCGGGCTGGGCGTGTTCCAGGGCGTCTTCAGAAATTCGAATGTGACCAACCAGAAGCCGGAAATAATACCCTGGCGGTGGTCGCAAGAAACAAACCTGATAACTGGATTAGAGTAACTCTCGATGACTGAAAATATGGTACACGTGATGTTTCAATCACGCTCATCCAAAATGATGGTGGAAGAGTGCGACTAGCGGAACGATCGACATAACCCGTACGCCAAGCGCCGAGGGCCGGGAATCTGCCGTCCGAGCGGTCACACTGTGTTCGAACAAAACAGAGTTGAGCGGCGCATTCGTTTCTTACATCTTTCTACATGACCATGATCAAAACAACACGTGAACCCTATTTTCAACCACGAAGAGGTACTACACGTCACTCTTACGCGCTTATTAAAACCATTTACGACCTTTCATCAGAATGGTTTCTCGCTACCACCGCTAGGGGATACTTTTCGGCTGCTGGTTGGTCAAGAGAGCATGCCAAGCCCTCTTTCCGAGTCTGGTGCACGCCCTGGCTCTGCCCGCGGCTCCCATTGACCAAACTCTTTACATATATGGCTCTGCTGCGCTTGGGGATCCTCTACTATACACACATTAAGCTTATTACAAACATCAGGTGAACATACATTGAGCACATACACGGCACACACAAATATCAATACAACGGAACACCCCACTAACCCGGACACTACACCCGTGCTTTGCGTTTCCGCCTTTTATACTGGTCGTTTTGAACGTACGGAACTTTTCAGTGACTCCCTAAGCAATAAAAAATATTCCCAGCGTGTTGATTTTTTCCCAGCAATGTCATACCTCTAAGAGTATTTTGAATGGCTTATGGAATGAATCTCTTATTAAAAAGTAAACGCTCGATCATGCCGTAACTATTTGAAAGCCAATAAATCAAGCCGCTCCAATGGTGTTCAAAGCCATGAGTTTGTTTCCCCACACGGCAAGTCGTGGCCGGTATTTCTATTGGTTTTTCTATTGTTCCTGCAATTGCCGTCTTGAATCTCTGTAGAGCGGATATTCACTCGGCTGGAAGTGATGCTTCATGGGCTGAGAAATCGCTTTTCGATCAGCTTGAATGCAGTCAAAGCCGCGACTTGCGGCAGGTGTTCAGAGTACGGAGCTACGCCGTGGCGAGCCCGTAAACTTCTAGCGCTCATCCCAGCGCGCCACTTGGAGGGCAGTTTCTCCAGGAATTGTAGTATATTTAAACAGCAAAATAAAGGGTACCTCTTTTTTTCGATTTTACCTACTATTGTTTTTTAATGCCGAAATTCCATACTGTAAATGTACGTACTTTCCGTCACCATTCCGTACTGTTCAGTCCATGCCCCAGACCGCAATCACTCTCGGGGACGAGACAATTCCGACAGTCACATTGGCCACTGTACTGTTCAGACCAGCGTTCCAACATGACTATCCGCACGTTGATCGATTGCACGTAATCCCTCAAGTGGTATTAAACTTTTTAATGTAAAGTGAAATATCAACCTGCGACACCCCGCCCCCTCCGATCACGGCCCGACCAGCGGCATCAATGCCCAACAGTTTACGATCTCATCTTCTTGATACACCACTGATACGCGAACACACGGTCACATCGGCGATAATTCCAGTCTTCTGTTCACAACCCACAACACTGCCATCACGATGTTGCAGCTATGTTGCTGACACGCACAAACACCGAACCACGTTGAACGCCGGTTGCACTCGGCATCGGAAAACAGAACCGAACTCAGCACGGAAGGCACCCAGGCAGCCGGCAGCAAAACCTGCCTGTCTTGGACGCAGTTCCTGCGGTTTCTATAACGCCGAAAACGTCGACACAGTTCCGCGTGGTTTCGCTACTGTAGTGACTGTAACTGTAGTTCCGTGCCGCGCGAGTCCCGCAATCCGGAGACGGCCATCCCCCAGTTCACGTGGCGCTGCTGGCACTGCTCCGGAACTTCGCTGTTTCAAGCGGCCTCGTTTCTTCGTTTGATAAAATTAGTGATAAAAACCTGAATGCAAGCGAAATTTTCTGCAAGTTTAGACTAGAAGACGGAATTACAGGCGCACTTCGCTGCCGCTGAAGCTCAATCAACTCAACAGCTAATTATTAAACAACGTGTGCGACCTGCTCGAAAAACGAAACCGAAAGAAGATGAGTCGGGAGGGCGAAAGCTTTCTCCCGTCTGCCTGGAAAAGGAGAAAAACGTTCCGTTCCTGCCCTATTCTCGTGTCCGCTTGGGGGCGCGTCAGTAGAAGGGAGGAAGACGCGGAGAGCCGCAGCTTGGCCACCCCTCTACTAGGGCATCGCCATGCAGGTTCTCAAGGAGTTTGGGAACGGCCTTTCCCTCTAAATTAATTCCTGGCATTGTATACTAGGCGATACCTGCTGTAGTCTATGGGTTACCTTTGCAGGGAGATGGAGGCATCGATGATCACACGTACGGCAATTGCCCATGTCGCACATCATCAAGGAAGGTCTTCATGAAGCAGGCAACTTGTCCTGTCGATGGAGACCCAAACATATCCTGCATATGTGGGTAAAGTGCCTAAAATTTAATTACAACTATAACTACTTCTCTCCAAAAGCATCATGACATCAAAGCTTGCAGCTTTGATGTCGCAGCCTGGCCTTTTTCGGTCGGCCAGGGTGTCGAGAGTGTTTTGTAGTGACCCGCCACACGCCCTCAAAGTTGAACTTGTGTCTTACTCAAATTTCGGAAGAGAAGCCTACTACCAAGTATGATAGAATTGTAGCAGGGGATCATGATGTTAGCTACGTAGCCCCCACAACCCGACCTCCATTATCGCCAGCCCCTTTGCCGTCTACTTCATCGCCCATCATGACTACCCGTCATCCCTTGTGGTTGACGCTTGTTCGTAGGGAAGGACTGGCTGGCACTGCTGGGCTCTGCGCCGCTACTCATCCCAATTCCCAAATGGAGACTG